CGTAAATAACCTAACAAAAGGTTTCCATCTAAAGTAAATTTTTTTTACGTCTCTTTTAACGACATATTGTTTCCGGTTATTGCGGCAATTATATTAAAACTAACAAAGGAAACATTATCTTATAAATGCCATGTCGGCAATAAAAAAATACGTTATAGTGAGAATATTACAATATTTTCAAAAGTGTAGAAAAAGCAGTGGTTGGTAATTGGTATAATATTGATATCATATTGATATGATAAGCTTATGTAATTTATGATTCGTTAAAATATTATTAGAAATTACAAATAATATGGACACATCCCACATTAAGTATCATGTATCATATACATTTTTATTTGAAACAAAAAAATCATAATAACAGTTTAGATGTAGAACACGACTGTTGACTGCAGCGTTGTGATAAGTAGGAAAGTAATTGACGTAAGGGCTAAGGACTATTATAATATTATTTTGTGTAAAACTAACATTTTTTTCATTCGTTTGAAACACCTAGGTAAAATATAACTCAATTATACAGTATAATATTAATCGAATATATGCCTAAATGCTTCCTAGCCCTTGCAACAACGAGTTAATGGATTCACTTTTATAAACAAGAAAAGATACATTTGAAACGGTTAAAGGCATGTTATCGTCACCAAGGTACGTTTACGTATTGTTTTTTTTAAAACTTATATTCAATGCTTGAAAATATTTTATTTTATACCTATTCATGAGACAGACACATATGTGTTCAACAGTAATGTTGTTTTTCTTCAGAAAACTCTTTTTGAAGCAATGAAAGTGTTCAAAAAAAGTTGTATTCATAAAGTTCTGTCTACAGATTGGAAAGTTGAAAGAAAATTACAAAAACTATATAAAAATAACAGACGTTTTAAGTTTGAAAAAACTTTTTAGAGGCATAAAAGTGTTTTTATAATAAACAAATAGATATGAATTTGGAGGTAGAATATGTAATGTAACTTAAGAATACATAATATTTTATTTTATGCAATTGTAAAAAATAGAAAAGCCCACTCTGAGCATGTTAAATAGTTAAATATACATTATATACATTACGTAGACATATATGATATTCATATTTTAAAATACCCCATCTAAATTGGTTTTCATTCCATAATAATTAAATAAATATTTATACTAACAACTTAAAAACTGTTATTTCATTTGTGTCTCCAGTCATCTTCGATTTCGATAGGTAACATCGGGATAATTAATTGTCAAGATACTAAGTTAAATAATTGGAACTCAAACAAAGATAAAATAATATGAAGTACAAAAGTATCAAATTTATCTATTGGTGCATTACAATACAAATTAATTTTATAGGTACCAAGCACCGTATATCAATTTTTAATTTAAAATAAAATAAAAATAGTACCCATAGTTTTCAACATATTCAATTATTGGATTTTTGTTACTGTATTCTTATTTGGTACATTATATAATATATATTTATATCGATAATAATATTTTATGATAAAAAAATTATCCAAGTTGTAGGTATATAATAATTTTACCTCCTGAGTCCATACCCTTATTTTCTTCTCGTGACAATACACCAGATTTTCTCGGAAATACTAAGTTTAAAAAACCTTATTTTCTGCAGGTATAACATTATAGATGAATCATAGTGTTTGGCCGTCATGATGTTCAGTCCGAAATTACAGGTCAAACCCTGTTGGATTTCTCTTTAATTTTAAGTGATAAAATCAGATTTTTTATTAAAGCATTTCGCGTCAAACATGCTGTGATTACCGCGGGAAGTAAGGAAAATAGACTCAGAAAGAAACAAATATACATCACTGTCCTGCCTGCAGTATAGTTTCCTTTTAATATGCATTATTGTAAAGTTGTTTATTAAAATTATTAGATACGTATTTTAGTTGCATTTTAAATAAATACTATTCAAAAGTATTTGTATTACAATCCAAATACTTTTTGTAAATGCTTTGAAAAATGTATAAAACGTTCCATTACTAATTGTTCTGCAGTATTTTCAAATACACAGTATAATATTTTGTTTAGTTTATATTTTGTTAATTAAAGGCTACTATATCTTATTGTTTGTCTGTACATTTACCTATAATAAAAAATCAGTAGTTTAAAATTACCTGCACTACACATTATTATTTTAAAAAAGTTTTCCTACGAAACTTGCTTTAAAATCATTTATAGCGTTGTATAAATGTAATTATTTATTTTATTTATCTTAACAGTTTATTATTTTTATTGTTAGAGTGCTACACAAGCTTTCAAAGTGACTTATAATTTTTAAAATTATAATTTTAATACAATTTTAAATTTTAAAATTACTGGTAGGAAGGAGTACTTGATCCCTCATCCTCCCCATCATCAGTTCATCACTGTTTTCAATCAGAATGTAATTTAGAGAGTTCACTATATATACATACTATGTACTGGATGAATTGTACACAACTTGGCGAAGATACTATAAAAATAAGTAAAAGAAAATATTTGTTCAAAAAGTATCTGTATTTCTACTCAAAACCCAATTATTTATTTGATCAGTATTAAAATACTTTTGAAAATACATACCTATCTTTATCTATTGATGGTTAGTATGATTAGTTATATTTATTATTTATCAGTAGATATTAGATATTCTAAGAAACAAATTGATAATAATGCGATACAACGCATACCTACAGTATACATATTCATTTATATTTTATGGCAAGATGCGGCAACATTTTCAACAAGTCAGCTATTTAAAAAAGTGTGTTTAAGTTTACGCAAGTGAGCAATTGGTATAATTTACTTTTAATACGATCGACCAATATTCCTCTAAAAATCGATCAATCGATCCGTCCCGATTGACTGATTGGCGAGCCCTAATTGTTTACTATTATGTATTGCACTGTAAACAATCTAAGTACTATTATTTTATAGCTCCCTAGTTACTAACCACTTCAACAATCAACTACATCACAAGTGCACAGGATTACACATAAACACAAATAAACGTGAAATCTTTTTTTCGCTGGCATTCACTGCACGCTGAACACATCAGTATCGCACTATTTTTTCAATCTCTTAATTTAACGAAATAAATATTAAAACTCTTATAGATTCAATTATAATATTTTTCTAAATGTACTAACTACTATTTTCTAAACGTTTTATACTTGGGGGAGAATAAAATAAGTGTATATAATATTACTATCTGATAAACACAATATAAACCTATCAAACGCTATGCAACTCTGTATGAGAGCATATGTGTACCTGCCTACCTACTTATAATAGTTGATCAAAATATGGTTTTGAACAAATACTACAATTAGGTACGTATTTTTTTCAAACTACACACCTTAACTACTTGGATTGGAAAAATTGAAAAATAATTATACATAGTACTCGTATTTAAGCCAGAGCATTAAACCTCTTTTACCTAGGTATACACAATGTACATTTAATGTAAACGGAAAAACAATTTTACAAAAACCAAATATTTTTAATGAATGTCTGAAGTTCAAATTTGAACAAAACACCGGATATTTAAACAAAAATTATTGATGTAGGGATCATATAGTCATCATTATGAATATTATTAATTTCTATAATCAAATACATTTTAAAAACATTTGACTAATTTAGACTAATTTCAAGCTACTTATAGCACGATCCCATTAACTCTGTTCTACTGTACGATGGTATTGACTTATATGTTAATAACTATAATACATTAAACACAATGGGCTACTAAAATTCATTCGATATTATTGAAAAAAATTATTTCAACCAACCGTATTACTAATAATTATAAAATATTATTAAAAATAGATTTGATAAACCGGCTAAGCCTCTGAGACTAAAATAACATATGCAATGATTTATCAAAGAACATTTCTGCAATGTCATATTAAAACTATTTTCAAGAACTTAGAACTTTTAAATGTATATTTTTTTACTAAACAGATTTTAAGTCAATTTACGTAAGTCAGGAAAACTTAGATCAATTCTCACCATTTAAATAAACTTTACTATGGTTAAAAACAAAACATAGTAATAACATGATATTTTGTCTTAGGTTTTAAGTAAAAATTGTGAAAATGTAACTTTCTGTATAGTATTAGAAATCAACTTACTGAACTTATGGTGAAAATAATTAACATAAAATTATTATTTTATGAATAAACTTTTAAATTATTGAAAATTAATTTACAACTTTTATTATATTATAAATAAAAATAATTAAATTTAAATAGAATTTAAAGTACTTAATTCAATTTTGGGTTTTTGATGAAAATACATAATAAATTAAAAACTAATGCTTTATTTTTCATCAAAGTTTGTTTGATATGCGTACCTACATTTAGCTATTCATCTGCAATTTAAACTATAAAATCAAATACTTCCTCTTCTTCGTTTTATTACTTATTAGTAAATACTTATAATAAAACCTCAACATATAATATACTATACAGTATAGAAATAGACAAAAGTTACCTAGGAATTTTAATTAAAAGAAATATTTACATCTAAAATTTCTAATAATTTAATGTTTAATAAAAACTATCTACAAACTCTGATTAATTATAATATGAATCTGACATTTAAATGAAATATTAAGTAGTCTATACTCCACGTGAGCTATGTATTAATAATTATTTATTTATTTGATGTATTATATGATTTAGTGAAATCCCTTTAAAATCGGAAATTATTCAATTCAACCATCTGAAGAATAATAAATATAATTATATTGGTATAGTATTGATATAGTTTATAGTAAACTATTCAAAATGGATCTATGTAGATAGAGATACGTAAGAGCCTATGATACATTTCTGTCGTTAGTGTGTTTTGTATTTGTATGAAAACAATAGTAATACAGCAATAACAACAACAAATATAGCACGATTATTTACACCATGTAATAACGAAAAAAATAAAATAATACAATATTACATCTCTCTTTTTTTTAAATTAAATTAATCATATTATAATACTATTATTATTGTTTCAAGTACTTGAATGTGAGCGGCGAATGCGGTGGCGAGTACTGGGATGGCGACAATCAGCAACAGATGGTTCATGGTGGTAAAAACGTGTGGTTCCCGACGGCGTGTCCCGCGATACGTGGTTTCGGTACAAATGACAGTGTCCAAATGCCGACTACCCTTTTATACAACCACCGCGGCTACCGCCACCCACCCCCGAGTACCAACCCCTCTTGGATGACGCAAAGGGGGCGACAGCACGCGGTCGCAAAATCTAGTCGCAAAGATAGTTCCACATCACACCACAATATTACAATAACTTAATATTACTTACCTATATATTATGTTAGTATGTTATAAACTTATAACTTATAACTTATAATATAAAATTGTGTTACAATATCGTTAAACTTTATTTACGATTAAATAAACTGATATTATATATATATAATATATAATATATATGTACCAACTCAAAGACGTATTCATTAGATCTCGACAGCTAGTGGAGGAAGGAAGAAATTTTTTTAAATGGCACTTTTTGATATGGATATTCTAACAACCACAATTACATAGTTTATATATTCATATTCATATTGATACTATGTAATATAATTATTATTCATCCCTTTTTATAGTTTATTTTCTGTCATTAAAATTATTTTTACTACAATCGTACATATTTACATTGAATTTATTTACATTTATTAATCCATACGCGTGCACATAGGGGTGACCGAGGGGGCATGGCCTACCTAGCGAGCAATGCCAAACTTGTTTTAGATTGTGACTCAGATCCAGTGGCGTATCTAGGATTTTTTTATAGGGGGTAATATGACCAAAAATATTTTGCACATTATGAACCAGGGAGCAAATATCCCCTTAAAATATCTGTTCCCTGACTCCTCCTCTTGTTATCTAACCTTTCTGAAAAATGCACTTTTATAGGCTATGATTTTACTTGAAACTATATCAACATTTATAATATTATAGGTACATTTTTTGTCTTAAGTATGGTTTGGCAAAACAAGTAAATATAGTAATCACCAGGATGTGAACATTCTGAATATGTCTAGGTAGTTTACTAACCAGTATAAGATATATCACCAGTGGCCCCCAGTCTCTAAAAAATGTTTTTCATATAATAATTGATCGAAGGCTGCAAACACCTATGTCAATTTTAAAATTATTTATTTTATCAAGGTTCTAATACCTAATATCGCTTTTATATTCATACAGGGTGTTTATGTAACTCATTGCCTATTTATGCTTAAATTATGTTTTAATTTTTAACCATATAACCACTAATAATTTACTAACTCACATTAAGCGACTATTTTACCAAGATTTTGGTTAGATTTTACTAACCTATAATGTGTATTATATTATGTTATATAATAGGTACATAATAAATAATACAAATAATTCAATAGATATACACAAAGAGACGATAAATAGTGTTTACTGTGTTGTTAGTATTATTCTAAAAACCATCATATAGATCATTATATAATTATTTTTCCAAGGTTTAAATCTTTTTGTCTTTGGAGACATCCATCAAAATATAAAATTTTGTACGTTTTAAGTACAATACATTTTAAGTAAAGTCAATATTGTGGCCGTAGAGAGTGTGAATAACATTAGTGAATCCAAAGAACGAGTGCAGTTTAGGTTGCCTCCAACATGCAGGGCTCATGGTATTATTATCATAGATTTCACATATTTCCTATATTAACAATATAAGTAGGTATAAGACTCGCCTGCTGGAATGACTTAACAATGGTGCTGTTAGTGGGAAGGGGAGGGGGGTACGTTAGTTGATCCGCTATTTTAGTTGACATTAATAATTCTATTATCACTTGTAAAAATAAAAAATAAATAATATGTGCTGTATTATTAGAGACTTTTCACTGTGGCCTTTGGCCCAATCTCGGTTTATACTTCTGCATGCGGCCTTGACAGCACACCATTATAATATTATACTCACTCGTGGACGACTGGGTACGTGTAAACGGTTTAATCAAAAATCAAACGGTACGGTGGACAAGGAGGAAAAATAATGTAACAGTGTGGCGTTCACGTTTTCTAAGCCTGACAACATACCGATGACGGAAGTATCTCGATTATATGTAGCTTATTGACATATCGTAATACAATAGGGATTGTGGATCACGGTCAACGAATTCATACCACGGTTAAAGTGACAAACATTGTACCTACCACAGTATCAAGGCAAGCATCGAATGTCATCTACATGGTTTTTGTTGCCTATATAATAGCGGTTAACCATGATATTTATTCAATCGGTCATCACTCATCAGGATACTGGATAACGGTGGATGTTTACCGTTCTCTTCACATACATTGCGCACTCCATTTGATTATCAGCGATTCTCAATCAAACCGTTTTCTTGTCGACGTTCACGAACGAATTGAATGTTTTGTGTAGGTAGTTGAAGTCAAATCGACAAACATCATAAAAATCACAAACATTTACAAAATATTTTGTAGTTAAAAATGTATGACATTTTCAATATTAATAGCTAAGCCTTGAAAACTGATTACAAAGTTCTTTGTAAGTTTTCGTTGTGTCAAAATAAATATATAGAAAATTCACATTATTTTTATAGATGTGACATTTGAAATTCAAATTGGTTATTTAAACGAAAAAAAAACATTTATCCCTCTGGCGATTTTTAATTAATTTTTTTTTTTTTTGAGATCAAAAACTGCGATTTTCATTTAATTTAAATCTGTTTATAAATACTTAAATATTGTATACTCAATATGTGTACCTATATTAATTGCTTATTTAATAAAAAATGTTTTTACCTTTATATCTACAGTAAGATTTATACAATAATTATGTTTTCTTTAATGTTCTTGAATGTTCATTGACATTTTGTTTAATATAGATTTCTGTTTGTGTTACTTTGAATCAAATCATTCGACGACTGAATATTTACGAGTATGTTATAATATATTTAGTAAGAGTTAAATATTAAAGTGTTCGTTGAGACTCAAAGCCGAAGTCACAAATTACAATTGACGTTTTTGCATTACCTGTTATTTCCTGGCCAAGTTTACAATAATAATCTTAATCGCAATTCGCAAGCCGAGGTTAGATTTGCCCTTATTTAAGTAAAAAGTATTATTTATTATTTATATGAGTCAGCAAAATACGAGTAAAACCGACAACAACAAAAATTATATAATAACTTAACCTCGTAAATAATAAATAACTTCTCTAATAAGTAGGCAAGGCAATATTTTAAATATTACCTCACATTAATTTTATTTAACCACGGTTTTAAAATAATACAAACTATATGAGTCTTTTGCAAAACTGAAAGTTTTTAATATTTTATCAAATGAAATTGTTTAAGAATAATTTTTACTTTTTTTTACTATCATTAAAACGCTACACTGTTAAAAACAATTAAATACAATTTTTATACTATATTTATTTTAAAAAACCATTCATTTTTTTTTTAAAGTTTCGAATAATTAAAACTCTACAACATCCTAAATTTAGAAATATATATTTTTTGTCTCAATTCGTATTTATAATAAAGAAGTTTTAAAAAAAACTGTTATTTGTATAAAATCATAATGATTACTAGGAATTCCATACAACTTTTTCATAGCTCTGAGCCTAATTGAAAACAACAGTGGACCGGTGTTGTTGAGTTGCGGCCCAATCCCTAAATAACGTATAAGTCACGGCCCGGGCTTGTGAGAGGTACGTACTACTTACGAATTGCGGAAATACGATAATGTATACATTACATATATGTATATAAATATTTAAAAAATATCGTTAAATACTTTTGGTTCTATACGTGTTTTATTGTATATATTTTTAATGTTTAAAATACCTTCACGTAACATGACAATTATTGAAGACATAAATTACGTGGTTTTAGCCGTGTGAACATTACCTATGTAGGTGCATTCCACTGGGCGAACCTGATAGACAGACCAGCGGTTAGTATTTTTGTTGTTTTTTAATTTTTATCCCACAGCCGTAAGTGGTGTAAGGACTATGATCATCGCGGTGGCAGTATCCTGCGTACTGTTTGGGGCAGAGTGCTGACGATCCCAATCGTTCTGACACCCTACAACTCAGACGAAACTAATGCCCGATCGGTGACCATATGCCCCACAACTAAAACTGTGTGAGGGAGCCCTCGTGAGTGATATGCTCCCTCCCCGACCTCTCAATTATAATACGTCATTGGTAGGACATGTCACATTTGTAGGACACGGTAGGGAATTATCTATATATCCTCCCGACTTAAGGGAGAAGGCGAGCCAGTACCGGAACTGTGTCACTCACCGCTTTGTCCCGGAGACATTTATAGCTAATGCCCGGCTAATACTATCTTAACTCTCCAATTACTCGTCTCATGCGCATTGCCAATGCCGACCCTTCTTTTTCGCTTTAATAAAAAAAGCCTATAATTCCCGTTAAGCATTAATTTTATACTGCACTACTAGTTGTACACTAGTACTAGTACGTATTTAATGGGATCGTTCCGTATTATAAAATAATTTTTTTTTTTAAATATGACATTCGATACAGCCACGGCTTTTCTCATGTATGTAAGCTCATGGTTTTACTCCACAAAGCGTCATGGGTAAGTGGCCTATGCCGTGACCACCCGGCGAGGATAAGCATATCCATAGTGAATTTGTTTTATTTTTTTATTTCAGACATCGGCCATTATGACCATTAGCATTTTGAAGGGAGGAGGGGTTATAGTTGGTAGAGGAACAAGTGTCGGTAGACCGAGGATTCGTCACTAAAAATCGGGACTTATTTTATTCCTGCCACTTTTTCTTCAGCTCAAAATGTGACATTACTGCCTCCCCAAACTTAAAGAGAAGCAGTCCAATGTGGATTATCAAATGGGACAGCTGTCTGCGGTCGGGTATTCAATATTTCCCGGTAAACTCCTAGCTATAAAGTGAGTAAGGAGTAGGGACACCTGCTACCCGTAACCTGCAAACACGATCTATACCATAAGTCCTTATACCCTACCATACGGCTTAACGCTCTTTTCGAGCTTGGCTGTGAATTCACTACACATAAAATCTTCAAAACAGTTCAAAAATCTTTAAATGCGTTCGGTATGGTCCTTATAGTTTTTATGTATCAATTTGTTACATTGGGTCGCTCTTGGAAATGTATATAGTTTGGTAATTCAGTAGGATAATTAGTATTAAATGTATAATTGTATAAGAAATACAGTGAGCAATATTTCCATGTATAATTAGAATCAGGATAATAAATGACTATACTATATACATTTCGAAGAAATGAACAAACCTTGTATTTTAATCAACGTTGATTTAATTGAAGTCATTGAATATAGAATATTCATTAAACAAGTAAAGAATTAAAGTATAAAATAATTAATTGAATTACAATGACGTATTTAAGACTCTTCAAAATGCCAAATGGTATTTTATCAATCGGAAAAAACAGCTACAATTAATAAAAATACAATTTTGATTACTTCTTTATTCATGCTACACCGCGTAGGGCAATAAAATAAAACACGGAATTAAAAATATTTGTATTATTAATTGATAATTTTAAAAACAATTTCAATCGTAATCGACTTGTGCCATTAAACGCGTTGTGGATTTAATTCCAAAATAAAATACTACATTTTTCTAATAGATATAGTTTAATATCACAAAAATCCAAACGTAACGTTATTATTTATTGTCCCTCTAGAGTTTGTAATTCGAGCATACAAAAATCTTATAAAAACTGAGTTTCACTCTTCTAACAAAATCTTCTGTCCAGGCAAGTGTGTTCTCAGAGTTCAACACCGAATTAATCAGCTTGTAATTGCAGAAAACATCGTAGTCCACATTTCACCGTTAAAGTGATAAGAATGAGATTTTGCGAAGACTAACAGTCCAGCGAAATGACTAAAAAATGCCTAAAAAAACAAATACAATTATCACTCTGACGTAATATTTGCTTAAAAATAAATTGTATAAGCTATATTATACCTAATGACGGTAATCATAAATTATAATACAATATATACATTGTAAAACTATGGAGGTAATGTTCACGGAATGCATCCGTCCCACTGGCAACCGTTTTCTAACGCGTATTCCAGACATTGGCCGTGCCCGTTTGACGCAGCCTCGTCACACGTTGACATGTCCCAAAGGCAGCCGTTCTCGTGCGCGTACATTAAACAGCTTAGGTGGCCACCGGCTGCGGCCGCTTCACATGTCGTGCTGTCCCAGAGACATCCGTTTTCGTGGGCGTACACCAGGCACGTTAGGTGGCCGTGGCCAGCGGCTTCCCGGCACGTGGCCGAGTCCCAGGGACAGCCGTGCTCGTACGCGTACCGCAACGCGTCGGTGTGCCCACCGGCCGCGGCCGCCTCGCACGTGGACACGTCCCACGGACACCCGTTGTCCCAGAGGTACGCCAGACACTCGAGTTGGCCGCGGCCGGCCGCTTTCTCGCACACGAGCCAGTCCCACGGACAACCGTGCTCCCGCGCGTACCGCAGGCACTCCAAGTGGCCGTTGGCCGCGGCGTGCTCGCATACCGACACGTCCCATGGACAGCCCCGGTCGCGCGCGTACCTAAGGCACTCGAGCCGTCCGTTGGCGGCCGCCTGGGTGCATATGGTTCGCGTCCATGGGAACCCGCGGCTTTCGGCGAACGCCAAGCACTCCAAATGTCCACTGGCTGCGGCTTTTTCGCTCATCGAATTTGCTGTATCGTATTTGTAACCGTCGTCGAACGGTGTGGCTTGAAACGAGAACAGGTGGTATGAAATGGTACTGAAGTGGGGTGGGATGGTGGTTGACCCTACAAAAAAAAAAATATAACTCTTGACTATTATAATACACATATATTAAATGACATTTTTAGGAAAAGCTTTCCGATAAGTCTTGGGACTACTATTTGAATAAATACTTGAGGAGCTTAAAATCCCCACCCCCATTCACGAGCATTATTATTATATGCACTAATACGATCGATCGATATCGTATGCGCAGGCTCGGATTAAGAGATTATATAAAAGTGATCGACCAGAGAAGTATTTAACTTTTGATTTAAACGACAAATCAGTGACAGTGGCTGGATTGTGTGAAGAAGGGTGTGTTGTGCGACAGTATTAAAGTTTGCTGTACTGCAGTCGCTTTTAGCATTTATATTCGTTCATGTCATATCGTTTACCTACGTTGTCTTTGCATTTACCGTCATAGTTTAAATCAATATCGTCATCCATAATATTTGATTTTGTCTCGTTCTTTAGGTATCTCAATACATCGATACAACAAGGTTGAATATCGATTTGTAACGTCTCTAAATCGTTATAAAATGTTCTTTCGTCGTCATCGCAAACACAGTACGCTAGCTTGGTCAGGGAAAACATTTTACAGCTCTGCAAAACAATTAACATTTTAAGAATATATTCGTATAATATAACAAATACATTCAACTAAAATTATGTACAAGAGGAGAAGGTTTTCGTCGGTCAAAACGGTTCAAATTATTGAGTTTAATACTATAAGTTTTGAATAACATATTATTAGAAATATTTTGAATGTTCTAATATTGAGTATCACATAATATAATATGATACGATATTAGGTTCCTAACTATGAGATTATTAAAGTTTTTCCACCCCCACTCTTTTTAAACAGTCTGTCCAGATGTACCCTTTTTTATCGTTGCATATTATTTAGAGTTTGTAAAATATACAAATATATATACAAGTCGTAACAAAAAGACCTAAAAAATATTTTTAAAAATGGATACTAGTTAGAACGTAATGACACAAGTTGTGAAAATTTTTTTTTAATAAATAATTTAAGAAACATACATAGTTCAGGACATTATCAAACAGAATATTTTGAAAAAGTTATTATATTTTAAATTAACTTACTCCAAAACATTATTGATATTTAAAAAAAATTGAAAAAAGCTACTTGACTTAAATCAACGATTTATCACCAAAATGTATCCAACAATTAGATTTATAAAATGGCCATTTTTAAATTTTTATCATCGGTATTAAATAAAAAATTATATTGAAGGTACTACAAATACTATGTTTAATTACTATATTATTTTTTTTTTTAACAATTTTTAATATTGGCTAAAATAAAAGTTATATAATTTGTCATGTCTTTCTGTTTCATTCTGTATATTATGTATGTATACTATACCACTATTATTCAAACTAAATTGACAAATAAAAATAAAAATAATGATAAGCATTAAGCAGGACAGAACCGTTTACGGGCACCACATTACTATAAAAACCACGATTGATTTGACCAGTGTAGTAGATGGTTTTCTGTCACAGTGAATTCGAAAAGTAAATGATAAAAATTAATGTTAAGCATACAAAACAATAAACTGCAGAAACGACCAAATATAATGTATCGTTAGTTTTATCAAAATGAAAAAATTTACTGTCCTTACTATACTGTCCGACGTAGGTTGTAGTTTATCTGATCAAGGGGAAAATCCTCACTGCGCTGCACTATTATGCCCCAAATAAAAATATTTGTGGTTTAAAACGTTATAATAAAAAAAAAAATAGTTTGATAACAATATATTTTCTAGGTACATTATTTATAAATAACTTTGGAAACTATAAGCTATTCAGACATGACGCAGCCATGGTCGAGACGAAGACGTCATTTCCGGGACGGTTTAGTGGTACAGCCTAGATATGTAACTATAATACTACTCGATCCAAATTTTTTTTAGCGTGGCAGAAAACCAAATTATGCCACATTTGTACAGAGCGACCATGCACACCAACCCACCCCGGACAATGATGCCACCGTCTAGATCCGGAATGTATTAAAATACTTTGTAACACACTTGGCAACCGAAGAAAAGACAGCCAATCGATCCGACGTCATTAAGTAAGTATGCATGTAAGGTGCATAGTCCCGTACCTTTGGCCAGTGAATATATCATTCACGCAACTAACTAGAAACATGGTAGACTTATATAATATTCCTAGCCACAATGGTGGTTCTAGAGATACATTTTGAAGGAAGGTTTCAATCTGCACATAATTGTTATACTACCTATTTATCTCCAACAAATATCTTTATTCTTTGTCCAGCAAGAGAACAAGCCGAATCTACGTATCCTCAATTAACCTACCTATCAAAATTCATAAAGACTTAAAAAATTGAGAAATAATAAAATAATTACTAATTATATTAAGCAAATATTTGTTAAAATAATTTTAGCAACAGTATAACATGCACGTAATTTAAGATTATGTGATATAGTAATCGTTGCTATTCGATGGGTTAGGTTATATATATCTATTTCAGTATAATATGCAGAGTGTACATTCACAGAATCTGAATACCTTTTATATCTGTTGTGTCAATCCGTCCGTCACGCTTTTTATTACCAAATATAGGAAGATGCTATCACCGATTTGATATTCAAAATGTTATCTGACGATATTTTATTTACATTAAATAACATAATTACTACTGCTATTATTTAGTATAAAATATCATAATAACACATAAGCTACTATAGCAGCCAACGATTATTATCATATACTGTTGACTATTCTGTTAGGTAACCTATAGAAATATTTAAATATGTCGTTTTATAATTGAGAAATATACCTACCTATATAATAAAACATTATAACATTATAATGATAATCAATAATGAAACATTTTATTTTAGAGTTTAAAAGACTTAATTTACTTGTAGAAAAAAACCTAGAGCTTGTGCTTCGCCTTGTGGCTTGTTTATAAATCAATAAAACAGAGCTATAGTTAATTCGTTAAAATACTAAAAAAAGTTAAGCTTAATTCCATTAGCTACAAAAAAAAACAAGAAACTTATTTTTTTTTCGTTGAATACAGAATAATGTTTGTGTTACATAGTTTTAAGTAATTTTTTATTGACTTTTTATGATTAAAAAATCAACAAAAAATAACAACAGGATTTTCTATCTGATTTTCAGTTGTAAGTCACTTGTTCCAAAGAAATGATAAAATAAAAATACTAATCGTAAGGTGTAAAAATATTAGGTACTGCCTATTTAGGTACAAAAAAATGTTCTCCTAATATTTATCACTTTCACTTAATAAAATATTCTATATAGGTACTATATAGTGTAAAGTATTATTCCAATGAACATTTTGAGCAGTATTCATGTAAGAAAATACTTCAGTTGGTTTTTAGCTATGCCTCCCTGACTTCCACCGACGAGTATAATTTTCTGGACAAATGTAACTAAACGATAATTGGACTGATAATCCTAATAACAAATACAGGTGTACATGTATAATACTGGTTCGTCAATACGGTGTGTGTGTGTGACACAAAGTCCGTAAAACACTTGAACTCGGAGTTAATAATTTTCCACGGGCCGATAGACAATTGAACCGGAAACGTCGACGGCGAAACTCTTCGACTAGGTACAGTGACTACCAATTATAAGGTAGGTAATAATATACCTATACGCGTACGCGACAATAGTATATAATTTTGACAATTAAATGAAATAAATCGTATTCGTGACGGCTGTGATTATTCGAATTACGATCGCGATCGCCGCCGATCGTCGTGAGCATACTATTTAAATACGGCCGTTTGAGGCACAGTGACCGTATACGGAAAATGAATCGGTTACAAGCAACTACTATGGTACTAGTGGCATCGGTGGCGGCCGTGGCGACGGATGTGGCGACGTCCACTGGACGACAACTTGGACAGATGCCGCCGCCGAGTTCAGATTGGTTCCGTGGTTGCGGTGCGGCCGAGTGGCCACAGTGTGTGGCCCAAAACGTGGCCAGGACGTTTAAGCTGTTGGAACAATCGGACAAATTGCAAATAGCCGACGGTGTACGCCTGGTCAAGACCACCACAACAACCGACAGATCGGCCAAGTAAGTATTAATTTTGTATTAATCACCTTGCAGCAGTCCAGCTATAATATAACCTACATAGGTATGCTTGATAATATAATATACTATTAATATATTAATAATAACAACAACTGGTATTATAAGTATTTACCAGATTAAAAACTTACAGATAGTGGTATAAAAATTTGCCAATAAATTTCTATAATAAATTTCTAAAGGCACAAATCACAAAAGCACCGAAGTCAGGGGCGTGCTCACAGGGTTTGACGAGGTTGCCATATTTCTCCTCCCCCCATAGGAGACCTATTTACACCAAAAATAGTTAAATATGCGTAACAATGATTATATTATTTGTATCTATTATCTATATATGTAAATAATATGTATAACCGTCAATAAAATAAAATTCATCTCCCCCCACGAAAAAACTGAGCACCCCACTGACCGAAGTAGTAATGATATACTTTAAATATGCGGGTCGGAAATAATTACTTAACAATAAACACCGACGACCACCATATAACAAAGAAAAATTCAAACAAACAGATGATTTTTTATTTTCAACAAAAACTAAAAGCAATCAGCTCTATAGATTAGAAATTCGACACAAATTCTATTGAAGATATTTGTAGAATTTCCGATAAAATTCCGAACATCAGGGTTTTCAGCGAATTACCATTTTTTGGTTTGGGTAAGCTGAGTTTATTGATACTGCGCAGTAACGTCATACTTCCACGTAGGTATAGTTTCGCATTCTGGATCTGCTACTGACGGAATAATAGATTCACTATTTTGTTACTCACCTGTCACAAAACGTACCAAATGGTATAGTGTATACCGTATACTAAATTGTTTTTTTATGTGACTGAATATATAAATAATAATATAATATGTCATGAGCAAATATTGTATTTGAATTTTTATATTGCATATATTCATAAAAGTTATATACCTACTGCTAATCCAGTAATATGTTTTATTAAAATTATGATTTATGAATGGCTCTTTACTTCAACTAAAATTGTAATTACAATTTAACGAACTAAAAAAACAAGAAATCTGTAATGAAATTAGGTCCGTTTTACACTTAAACATAATATTATAATACCGTACAACGTACATATTTTATTTCCCCGTTTATAAGGTAAGTCACTATAGGTAATAATATTGGTACCCGTAAACATTGAATATACTCACCGATAAAATCACGTAGCTCTAAGCCAATAACAAGCTTTGTCTTGAACATAATTAAAATAGTTTCTACAGTCTCATGAAATTGCTTTTATACTTTCATCACGCAACTATATTTTTAACTTTAAATTCACTTTTCACGGTTATTAATTACGAGTAAATTATTGAAAATTACGTAAAATCAACCACAATATTTTTTCCCGTACATAATACAGCGATTTTTCCTGGAGAAATTTGATAAAATACTTTGCGCGAGTATAGCCGTAAATATAGGTTAAATTATCATAAGTCCTATATTATAGTGTTTTTTCCTGCAGAAAATTAACCACAAGAACTAAGGAACATAATACATACTTATATTTCGTTAGTTTTGCATGACGTTTTTATTTAACCTAAAAAATTTTACATGAGACACGAGTTCATCAAATAAGTTTTAATAAAATATTTTACTTCTACTACTATTTTACCACACTTTGAAAATGTGCATAATATTTTATAAAATTATTAAATATAACTACGTGTAGATATTAATGGTGTAGTATAACTATGTTTTTGTTAATTAAGTTTCGTTAATTAGTAATTAATGTATTACTTAAACTGAATACTACTTTCTACTTGGACTATAAAATGATATAATAATATAGATGCATTTCAATATATTTAATATGTATAAACCAATAAATGAATAATGCATTATTATTATTCAAGTTGAATAACAAATAACAATATTTTAGTGTTAATGAAAATACTTACATCCTACATATTCAAAAGTCCAAATAATTCGTGGTCTATATATAAAACTTTATTTACACGAGGTTTCTAATTTCAAGATGTTATATTAACGGTTCTAATCATTTAAACGTGTATGTTTAATTTAATAAAAAAATAAAACAATAAATAAATTATCCACAGAATAAATTATTATTATCACTTTAAATATTATATGTAGGTGGCTTTAGCCAATAATTGCACTCAAAAAGAATTCTGCATTTATATAATTATTGTGATGTTAAATGTAAAATGATTTACAAATATTTCAATTGTATTGACAATTGACATTAAGAAGAGTATTAAAATATGTGAAATGGAGTAGCTAATAAAAGAAACCTACAAAAATATCAAATTTTCAAAACACCATCAATTTAATATTGTAATGATCAATGAAAAATATGAAGAAAAAAACATAAAATTAATAATGTATTTCTTTCTTTACATGATGATAGTGTATAAAATATTACACAATAAAAAGCATCGTGATGACTATATATCATAAATACCTATTGTTGGACATTTGAAAATCTGTTATAACTAATAGGTACTGGAAAAGGCACAATTAAGGCCTTAATTTGTTTAAAATTCAAACGTTATATTTTAATATACGAATTAATTATAGAGGTATATTCAAGATATACAAATTATATTAGTTACGAAAGAATTAAGCTATATAAAATAAAATATAATAAAAACTGATAGAGAGTAGCATGAGACTATGATTAATTATAATTACCCACAAATATGGATTTTTAGTTAAAATGGATATGGATTGTATGATAACTATATGATGGGGATTTCCTCGAAATGATCTTGTCCATTCAAGAGGAACGGAAATTGTGACATATTTACTATATTTTATATAGTGTAGGAGCACACTGAGGAGGATGATTTAAAGGAGCATCAAGTTAAATTACTTTTTTGAATTGGTGAATTATATAGTTATTTTCAATATGTAGTCATTAAGTATTTTTAAAACTATTGACAATAATGATATCGGTCTATAATTTATTTCCAACCCGCATTAAATCAATTAGTTTTCAAAATTGATGGTAATCAAGTATCGGATATAAAAAAACACACTTTCGAATAAATAACTAAATAAGACATGCATTTTGTGATACTCGATATTATTTAATCAAAACTTCCCTTATGTGTAAACTTAATTCGATTCACCTGCTAGCCTTTGCCCACATGCTATACAAAAAATAAGTCCAAGTAACTCAATACTGAAATCAAAATATGATGAAACTTACTCTTGCCGTCTTACAACTATATAAAATTACTTTTATTGTGTGTCTGAATAAAGTATTACAAACATTCTGATATAGTTATAAATAAAACTACCGAACTATAAGTAGAAACTATTTTGTAGGTTTCTGGTTTCAGCGATTCTTTTAGATTAATAATAAATTTCATTTAAAGGTAGGTATACTCTGAATATTGTATTGATGTGGTGTTAAATCATTTAATTTACAAGACGTATATAGATATACCATTTTCAAATTAACAAAAACTTATTAAATACCTTATTAATTTCAAATCATACATTTTAGTTCATACTGACAAGATAATTTATTTTTAAAACATAAAAACAAAGCGATCCTTTTAAGATAAACACTAATTTTCCCAAAAAGTATTTAAATATTATAACGTTTTTGACATTTTTTTATGAAACTTGAATAATTACAAACAATAAAGTGTTGAACTAGTAGTTAGTTAGTTAGATAAGTACGTATAAGTATTAAACGTTTAGGTGAGAGGATTTGACTGTCACATACTCACATTAGTACCCCAAAACATGCATTCATCTAAACTTAAAATACTTATAACTTGGTACCTAGTTAACTAAATTCCCAACACAAGAATACTTTTTGAAAAAATGATTGACAATATAATACACATTTATGCATTCAACATTCAACAATAATTAATTTATCTAAACTAAATAAAAAATAAATATTTATAACAGATCATTACGATCATTATTAGTTAAGTTATAATTAAAAATATTCGAATAATATCTACGTGAAACAGTTCAAATATGTTTGACGTTTGAACTACAAACTTATCTACTCAAGGCACAGTGACTTTTAAGCCTAGCATTAGTATTGCTACTCTGTTTTATACAGAACATGGCCGTATCTCCACAAATCGATTTATTACTGCAAAGAGCTATTGATAATAATTAAATTTAAATTTAAATTTAATATAATGACTTATAAGTGGCAGCATTATAGCTTCGTTGTATGAAATCCTATTATCGTTATGGTTCATCATAAAATGTCATTAACCATAATGTTTATTAAATAGCTTGTAACTACCTAGAAAATCGTATTGACATTCAAAATCAATACTTTAGAAAGAAGCCTTTTCTGAATTTATACAAAACTGTAAACGGAAAGTTATAGAATAGTATTCTCTGATATCAAAACCTCTTTAAATCTTAGTCTTCATAATTCTAAGCCGACCCTTCATTTTTAATATCTGATGTTTGTCGAGATAGATTGTTCATAAAGTTGGAATATAATAGTATAATGTTATTAATTTCCGAGATCGTCCCGTTATGATGATATTGGCAATAATAATTAAATAAATAAATATGCATACAGATTGATGGAATTAATTAATTAATTCCCTACCGATTCGCGTTTAAATGTAATATGCACAAAATGAACTAATTAATAATTTTTTATTTAGCGACGGGAATCATACATTCGACATAATCAACAGAATGGTTTCATTCATCGATAGTCATTCATTGCAAATTGATCTATGGACACCGGATAATAACGCCACCGTTGAAGGTATGCTGCAGTACCTAATAATTTGATTAATATATATATTACACATTCTTGGTACCTATTGCAGTTATGTGTGTTCAAATTTCAAAGAAATACAAACAAACTGATTAATGTAATAAATGTACAATACATTATTTCCGCTTATAGGCATCTATACGTGTTTTAAACAATATAGCATAAATGCATAACGCACACAACTACACAAGTATAATAATTTCTATAATAATATATATACAACATACACTTGCAAAAAATAAACTTACTCTATTTAATCAATTGAACTTTGTGTAATGTGTCTATAAGTTATACATGGATATAGAAATATAAATATAATAATATGATATAATGAAAGGTGCAGTACTATATTATATTATGTAAATTAAATTAGATTCGTTTCCGTGTCGTTTTTATGAACAGAAGACATTCGAAGTCCTTTGTTCGTCTTAAATATTACTATAATATACAGTGTCATAGCATGGTGTTATTGAAATACTTCGGTGAAAAACTTTAAATTACTCCAACAATAACTTATGGATTTCGTCAAATAATCATACCGGTCAATTTTTTGATGAAACATACCTATTTTTGTCCATGTACAGTACGATTTAGATCAATAAAGAATGAATCCGATAATGTGATGTGAAATCTGAAAAGTATTTATATTTTTTATGAAGTTTACTTTAAATCGATCACCACACTATTCCAAACGTCGTTTCTTATCTTTCCCTTGAAGTTGATTTTAAAATGTAAAAAATAGAGTATTTTTGGAGAATTGAACAGTGATTAATAACTACCTATACGAAATTGAAACAATTTGTAAGCTTCATAATAAATTTAAATATGTTTTCAGATTTGTTATCACAAATCTAGTTTTGATGACACGTCGGGTAATTATTTCTTATTTTTTAGTTAAAAATATAATTTGTCGACTAAAAATAGGTGACATGTGCTTACGGGTGCATCCCTCGATTATTTTTCATATTTTAAATCATGCAGACTAATGGTTACTACGCACACATTCGCAAGGCGCAAACACATAGTAAATTGCCTATATAGAAATCCTTTAAAACAGTTTGCATCAATTATCAAATCCCCTTGACAACGATGTAAATTATGTAATACAACGGTTATATTAAAGAATTCTCATTATGCCTCACAGACCTGAGTCGTGAGAATGAAATATAATATCTTCCAAACAAAATGTTTACCAAAGTTTTCTAAAAAATATATTTCATGTAACTCAACAATATTCTAGACAGTCTGAAAGAAGTGTAATGCTGTAGTTTTTAAAAATAAATAAATAGGTACAATTAATATATGTAAAAAAGGTGAAAATTTTAACTAATACAAGTGACGTATTAGTTTGAGAGTATATTACAGATATCAATACAAAGGTAACAAACGCCGTTTCTCTTGTAGGCATCCAATAAGTATTTTAAATACATATTTATATATACTATTTTCTATAATCTATAGATATAAAATAAAATAAAGGTAGTATATATAATAATAGGTATCACAAATTATTATAAGAATGCCCCCAAAGTAGGCAATGTGGTTGAAATCATGTATTTGATATTATTATATTTTTTGTGTAGGTTAGTTCTTTCAGTAACACATTTTCAGTAATACATTTTAAATTAGTATTCGTTTTTATTTATTACACAGCAGGTGGGCTGTAGATTTTGTGAAAAATATAGATTTGCCACTCCATCGTGGAGAATCAAATTTATACGAAAATATGTATTATAATATAATATACATGCATTATGCGAGTATAATGTATTTATTATGATTTATGACACACTAATCATCAGCGTTATTATATAACAATTATTTAGGTGTACCTCGTATTTATATAAATAATTCTTTAAAAATTAATATGAAGTGAGAAAATATGCTAAAATTATAGAACATAAAAAAATATTTTGAAATGTTTTACTATCATAATTGCATGACGAATAAATCACTAATATTCAGCCCTTTATCCGATTTCAATATCGGAAACTAGATATTTCTCTAGTGTAGTTTCAATAAATAATATATAGAATATGTCACATCCAACTAAGTGGACGGGCGCACACCAATTCAGTGAAAAAAAACTGTCACGACCCATGGCATACCCATTGCAATAACTTGGGCACCCGTTTTGGTGTGAGCCTGGCAATAGTGTTAAACCCGCATACACTTTCCGGTCAAAACACCATAGAATTGATTAAATAACACTGTCTCCCTTTAATTAATGCATAACATAATGGACAATATTTAACATACAGAAGAATTATTTGTAGTCTGTAATATCATCCTACTATAATATCTATGTTGTATATATAGTATATCTGTATGTACAAGATCCGAAAATTGGAGTTTATTCGAAACACATCGGTGAATGTACATGCTTTATGAAATGCCTGGATAATAAATATTTCTCCTTAAAACGTGTTATGGTCCAGCCCCTTCAAACACGAATAAGCAATTAATTCAAAATATATTTACTGGCATAAGCCATTATTGTAAGTTATTATTAGACAACATAACATAGTATAAGTACGCCATGTACCTATCGAGGTATTGTTTGGTAAACAATGTTGTTTATATTCAATAATATACACAATTTTTGTATTACCTATATTTTGAAGTGAAGTTAAGTGTAAAATTTTACATTTTAAAGTATGTCGGACCAAGTGGACATAACTTAAAATCATAATAATAGTTATATTAGTTATATTAGCTATATTACAAGAGGCGCTTAAAATCAACTGTAGGTACCCATATAATAAACCTCTAGAAAGAAAAATTACCTTTAGAGCCCTGCCCGATACCATACTATGATTTTTAAAATATAATAAAAAATAATATTGACGAGTTTTTTAAATTTTTTTTCCGGCAGGGCGCAGACGTCACGCTTACCGGAGAGTGTTTCCGATCATCGTGGGTACGTACATGATCATGTCGGCCGTCCTGATACCGATGGGCTTCATGTTCATGTCCACACTGGGCGGAAAAGCGCTGTTGGTCAGCAAAATGGCGCTAATGGTGTCACTGATGAGCAACATCAAAAAGATTTTCTCGTACGAGTACTACGTGCCACCCGCACCAGCGGCCAGTCATCACCATTGGAAGCGGACACTGCTGGCGCACCGCACCACCGCCGGTCCGCTGTACTCGTCGTACACCGCGTATTGAAGTCGCAATGATACCACAACACGCGCGATCGAAATTGGCCGTTCGCAGAATATAAGCCCATCCAGAAATCGTCCCCTTGAATTTATGACAGTCTATATTATACTATGATATTATGTCACCCGAAACGAGTTTATGTGACGATTCACCATAATTTATATACCTACCTATATTATTTTATATTAGCCATAGATACTAGATAGGTTTGACTTAAAATATTGTACGTGTTATTTATTTAATTTATTGTCAATATAATATTATGTAGTAAACGGATCTTGCATTGAACATGATGACGTTTGATTGAACCAACCCCAATATATAGGTACTTGTTTTCGTTTATTTTGTTAAACACCTATCTGACTAAAGTGGCCACGTGCTTATTGTATGTACCCATTTAAACTGTGACAAAATTAATCTTTTTCAAATGGTCGATGAACAAACTGCGTTACAACACCAATATGGTACATTCCGACGTACCATAAATTGGTTACCTGAGTATTGTGCATAACAATCATAGAGTAAACTACGATGAAATATTATGCACTATTTTGATAGCATTAGATTATTGGATATTATAGATTTGAATAGTTATTGTTATAACCTATAATACTTATAACTTATTATCCAATTGAAAGGAGTGTGTGAATCGTCTACAGCATGATGTTCATAATTAGCAAAAATTACTTGTAATGTGCTTGTACAGAAAAAAAGTTGTATAAAAAAAATGCCTTACTATAATTTACAGAAATTAGGTGCAAAGGTTCATTTTAAAAATAAACATAACAATATTAAATAAACGATTGCAGTTTAACTGCCTATATTGTACTATTCCAAATTTGTTTTGAATTTTGAGATATAATGTACATATGTGTACATAATAAATACCGTTTTTGGCTTCAAGTTTTAAACCACAAAAACTCATTCTTTGAGTGAATTTGTAAATTTTGGTAGAATAGTGGATCTCTAGTTGGATTCCATAATAGACACTAAGTCAAAAGTTGAAGTTATCAATATTTATACTTAAAAATTGGGAATAACCAACATAAAACGGCAGTAAATCAGAAATATTTACTCTGAGAACACTACAGTTTTCAATGAAATCGATTATCTTTTTTTTATATTTACTAAAGAAATTGTAATAAATGAATGTATTAAATTATTTACGACTAATTTAAGACACATTTTAATCAAATATTTATACTAGAATGTTCTTAAAATGATATAAGTTTCAATAAATCTAAGTTCTATTAAAGACAATTGAAACGATCAACCTTTTTTCGATTTATGTTAATACAATTTTTGTTTCTAAGTTGAAAACCTTGAAGTGTATGCAAGGATTTTTGTAAGTTGCTTATACAATTGCTTAAAAAAATCGACTGTTCATAATACCTCGTCATTGAGTAAGTCACTGTAATTTACTAATGTATGTGTTAAATTGATAAATAAACATGATACTGAGCGAAAACGATGTGACAGTCTATGTTACATCAAGTATATTTCATGATATATTCAAATTGGTATTCAAATTATTTATTTATTACTATTATTAATACGGTCGGGAGATAAAATTACTTTTTGATGAAACATTGCATAATATGCAATTGTCATTGTGTATAAAATAATATGGCATTGTATTGAAAGTTTTAAGACCCATGAATAATATTTTTAAATTATAACAAAATAACTAAAAGCGTATAAATAACTAATTTCGTTCAAATATAAACTCAAAATATGAAAACTATTCATGGTTATTTGTTTTTGAAATGTACTACACAAATAGAATCAATTTTTTTGATTTAATATTAAAAATAAAAAATACTCTTTTTTGCTTAAATTTGTTTTTCTGAATATTTTGAAAATTATTTGGAGTTTTCTACTTTGATGCCCTCCTTGTAAACTGGATCTAATTTCTACCAGAAACCACACACAAAATTGAAAATTCAAGCATTTTTTCTACTAGAAAAATAATTATGAGGTACCTACACTAATCTGCTTACCTACAGCAGAACAAGTTTTTATAATTGCAGGTGGTGAAAAGTAATAATTCTCTTTTTACTTACGTACCTATTGCGTAGTTTGAAATATCATTGAATTCAGTAATACTTTGACGACAGGTATTCAAGTCTTCACTATCAACATTGCTATATCTAATTGTGTTTTTATTTTATTCTTTTACTCAAACCATAAGTTAAGAACATGTTAAGTTAATTTAAGAAAATTCTTTCAATGTTTGTATTTGAGCCGTTACGCACATTAAAAAATCAACTACCTAGGTATTATTTTAAAATTTGGAAAATAACCATTTCAATAACCATGTTCTCTACTGGTTTCAAAATAAATGTCTATATTTCTGATAAAGTTTCTAATCCGTAAATCTATGTTCTAGAATCTAGATAGATAGACATAGCATATTATTTATAGTATTGTGCATTATACAGTGACAACAACCTAATGGACAAGAAATTGGTAGGGACGGCCACGGGCCACGGCCGACGGATGGTGATAACGTATCACAAGTAAAGGAATATACTGCCATATTGTTACGATTAATTATTTATGCTTTTAATATCTCAACACAAAAAATAGATATAAAAAATTTAATAAGTGTGTACTTTTTGGAAAACGAGGTAGTTTGGTGTCCCGACGACAGTTAACTTAACTTAAGAGAGGGATATTTCAGTATTATATGAGACTTCTAGCAACTCTAATATATAAGATATTTTATCTGTATCTATTATACAGACTAGATGCGATGTCTATATTATATGTATAATATTATTTTAAACACAATTCAAAAATATCAATACTGTTAACCATCCTAAGCTAATTAATAATATAGAAAATACTGTTTATAATTTGTATTATATAATAAATTGTTCCAAACGAGTTCATACTTCTTGTAACAACATTTAAAATTATTTTGCAAACTGGTCATACAATTTGGTCCAAACAAGTCGTGTTTTTTAAGATTAGTGTAAACGTGATCTCTTCTTTGATAATATACAACTTCGACTTTATCACGTACTGCAATGTGAATATTATGATGTATCTCTATACTTTTACTAATGCTATTCATATCAACTAGGTAATTGTAAAAAAAATGTTGAGTCGACTAAGTTAGTAAAGTCAGTAAATCATTGTGTTAGTCACCAATTTTCAGAAATAAAGTAATGATTTATGAATTTTATTTTGTACCGTGTCTGCTGTTGAATTCACATTGTCCCAAAATTATCGTCAGCAGTGGTGTAGTCTTAAAAAATGTTATGGGTACACAGTACACACCTAGGCATGCGGGGGCTCTGACTCCCCACCCATCACTATTCCATCTACTTGTTTACATATTATACAATATTACCTAATAAATAATGATTGATATTGAAACTCGTAATCCATAAAATATAATGTTAAAAACGTATTGAACTGAAAAAAAACTGAAAAATTGTATATATTAGCATTGAATATACCATATTAAAACGACATAAGTATTATAATATTAAAATATTATAATACCTAATATTACAAAATATAATGTATGATACATTTTTTTGCATTTTTTGAATATAAATAATACAATTAATTTAGAGGGACAAATTTCAATGGGAGGATGGGTTTGAGTATGTACCTGAAACCCCGAGGACGACGCCACTGATCACTAATTTTATTAATTCAATTGTTGTTTGATATGGACGATACAAAATAATTTTTAGAATAACAATTTTTTCTTTTTTTTATTAATTGAATTACTTTTAATACACAAGTGGTCTATATCAGTAGTGAGTCTTACTTTACCCACCGTAGAATGTTAAGTGTACCTTGTTATTGAGTAAGTCACTAGGTTGGTACTAGATTGGTTTTCCGAGTTCCTACCCCGCATGCCGAATTGGTTCTCGTTTAAAAAACGTATTTTATTCAAATGAGCTGAATTGGTCCCCATTTAAAGTCAAATAGCTTAAATTAGAATTTTTAGCAATTTTTTATATTAGAAATCATTTAAAGAATTTACCATAACACATTCTAATATTTGTTTATTTTTTGAAGGCTTTGAACAGTATTTAAAAATTAAATTATATTAAATTTTGTAGTAGTAATACAAGGACATTTACCAGCAAACAAGAAAAAACCACTAATACTTGGAAAAGTATATGACTGTCTATACCTACATTAATGGGAAACTTACACAGTTAGAATATTTGAAGAAAGTTTGATTCAAATTTTCAAGATTATTAGTATAACATAACCTATCAGCTAACTAATTTAAAATTTAAATTATTATATTTTTCGTTTACCTAAGTGATGACAGATGACTAGTTGACTTCTATTTCAACGATCTTTAATGCATATTTTTAACCATGACTACTTTAAAGTTGACAGTACTCAGCCTGTAAAATTGAGAAGGGAAATGTACTTAGTGAAAAAGCGAGAAGCAACTCGACTAGTGTCCAGTAGTGGGATCGTCATACATTTAAAAAAGAACCAATTTGGCGAACTTTAGTGAAATAACTTTTTCAAATGGGAACTGATTCGGCCAAATGGTAACCAATTCGTCTATTCACAGTCACCATTATGGCTGTAAAGGGGTGATCATAGGCGTGAGCAGCAATTTGGTATGGGGTGTGCCATGAAGATATTGGGCCACTTTCTCTTAAATGGGCCTTCACAAACATAAGGTACCCACCACCTCCAAAAACAAAAAATAAATAGAAAAAATGCAATATAAATTCATAAAAACTCATATTGATTAATACTTATCCTTGTACCTACTTGTGTTTCACAAATACATCTTATATATTTCAATTATTATTTAAAAAAATAAGTAAATAGGTACATTTTATTATATTTTTAAAGACATTGTTCTAATAATATATTATAATACACCTATATTAGAGTATTCAATAAAATCATTACATCATTCAACTTAAAATAAAATTCGTGTTGCAATAGTACGCGTGAATTAAGTGAAACTTCTTTACAGAGGGAAAGAAAAAAAGGTTAACGCCCATCATGGTCAAATATTAAATTTTTATAATTTTATTGAACAAATTAAGAAAAAAATGTTCAATAAAAACTTATTTATTATTATTACCATACAAAGATAAGACAAATGAATTATTATTTATTACCAAGAACCCTTAGTGTCAAGTAAGCCACGCCTGTAACGCTTTTTGGTCGCAACGACTGAGCCCATGAACTTACCAACTTACGCTTCCGCGTCTAAAAATGGTTCACTTTAATACAATGTTTAACAATGCAAGATTATACCCTAACCTAACCTAACCTAACCTAATCTTTAAGAATTAGTAGAAAAACACGCGTTGGAATAAAAATTAATATTATCACTGTAACAATCAAACTTGGACATTGAAGGCAGTGATGAGTTATATATCACTATTAGTGGTTGTTTTATTTAACTGGTTATCCAAATGTGTTCATACTTCATCGTTATTGTTTGTGCTATTTATTTTGTAGCATAAACATTAAAAAGAGGCCCAGGATGAATAGAAGTCGTACAAGCAGCATCAGACCACGGGGTATACCACTGCGCACCT